CATATTGACATAAAATAGTCAGGATCGCATATGACATAAAATAGCCAGGATCGCATATTGACATAAAATAGCCAGGATTGCATATTGGCATAAAATAGCCAGGATCGCATATTGACATAAAATAGCCAGGATTGCATATTGACATAAAATAGCCAGGATCGCATATAGACATAAAATAGCCAGGATCGCATATTGACATAAAATTGTCAGGATTGCATATTGACATAAAATAGTCAGGATCGCATATTGACATAAAATAGCCAGGATCGCATATTGACATAAAATAGCCAGGATTGCATATTGGCATAAAATAGCCAGGATCGCATATTGACATAAAATAGCCAGGATTGCATATTGACATAAAATAGCCAGGATCGCATATAGACATAAAATAGCCAGGATCGCATATTGACATAAAATTGTCAGGATTGCATATTGACATAAAATAGACAGGATCGCATATTGACATAAAATAGCCAGGATCGCATATTGACATAAAATAGCCAGGATTGCACCATTGACATAAAATTGTCAGGATTGCATATTGACATAAAATTGTCAGGATTGCATATTGACATAAAATAGACAGGATCGCATATTGACATAAAATAGCCAGGATCGCATATTGACATAAAATAGCCAGGATTGCACCATTGACATAAAATTGTCAGGATTGCATATTGACATAAAATAGCCAGGATCGCATATTGACATAAAATAGCCAGGATTGCACCATGGACATAAAATAGCAAGGATTGCACATTGACATAAAATAGCCAGGATCGCATATTGACATAAAATAGCCAGGATTGCACCATGGACATAAAATAGCCAGGATTGCACATTGACATAAAATAGCCAGGATCGCATATAGACATAAAATAGCCGGGATTGCACCATTGACATAAAATAGCCAGGATCGCATATTGACATAAAATAGCCAGGATTGCACCATGGACATAAAATAGCCAGGATTGCACATTGACATAAAATATCCAGGATCGCATATTGACATAAAATAGCCAGGATTACACCATGGACATAAAATTGTCAGGATTGCACCATTGACATAAAATAGCCAGGATTGCATATTGACATAAATAGCCAGGAACGCATATTGACATAAAATTGCCAGGATCGCATATTGACATAAAATAGCCAGGATTGCACCATGGACATAAAATGTCAGGATTGCACCATTGACATAAAATATCCAGGATCGCATATTGACATAAAATAGCCAGGATCGCATATTGACATAAAATATCCAGGATCGCATATTGACATAAAATAGCCAGGATCGCATATTGACATAAAATAGCCAGGATCGCATATTGACATAAAATAGCCAGGATCGCATATTGACATAAAATAGCTAGGATCGCATATTGATAT